ATGCGTTTTGTGCAATTCAGCCCATCGAACGATTGTCTATTAATGATTTTCACTGCTTTGTACTTCTGTCTATGCAAAAATAGTTCAAGCATTGGAAAACAGTTAAAAATTTCGCGCACTAGCACATGAAAGTGAATTCGAAATCTTGAAGGATGAATATCTTTCCGTGATTCCCGAGTTAATAGTTTCCCGCCAAATTTTCACAAGGTAGTAGGTGGTACCCGAGAGCGCGAGAACGCTGAATTTGAATGGGCAAGGTTGAGTGGGAGCAGGGGGTCATTCCCCTAAAATTTCAGCCTCCTAGACTCCGTGGTTCTCGAGATATTAACTTACCCGTGAAAAACTTTCTCGAAGCCGTACGTGTTACCCGCGGATAAGGGAAGGCTGAATTTCAATGGGCAAGGTTGAGCGTGGGAAGGGGGTCATTATCCTAAAATTTCAGCCTCCTAGACTCTGTGGTTCCCGAGATATTAACTTACCGGTTAAAAACTTTCACGGGGCCGTACATATTACCCGCGGGTAAGGGAAGGCTGAATTTAAATTTGCGGGATCACACGTGGGTGGGGAACGTTCCCCTAAATTATCAGCTTCCTAGCTTTCGTGGTTCCCGGGTTGAAAGTTGCGGACAAGTTGCTGCGGACACACACACACACATACACACAGACAAACACACACATAGACAACCCCGTGACAATATGCGTTTTGTACTGCTGTTACACAGCACAAAACGCATAAAAAGCAAATTAAAGCAAACCTGAGCCTACGAATAAAAGTAAGAAGTAAAGTCTACAAGTCTGAACCCATGGACAAAAGCAAAAGAAAAACTGAATCTATGCAAGTGGGAACTGTCCTGTGAAAACCCATCGTCAGCAGGGATTTCCCTATTTATGAAGCCGATGCTAAAGTGAAGTTGGGAGTGAATAAATTCCATTGTAGGACACAAACTGTGCAAAGGGTGGGGTAGACTGAATGCATGGAGTTTTTGTTTATGTGAGATTTTAGGAGCAGAAAGTGTTGTGCGCAGTTGCAGACTGCCGAAGGCAACACATTGAAATTCAGTAGATTTTTTGTGTAAATCCAGTCCAACCTATTTGCTCTTAAGCTTCACCTAAGCATTAGCTTCATAAATAGGAGTCTCCTTGTTGACGACGGGTTCTTGTAAAACAATTTCTACTCGCATAGACCCAAGCTTTTTTTCTTGCTTTTTTTTTTGTTTTTATTTATAGGTTCCGACTTTTTGATTTGGCTTTTTTTCGCTTTTATTCATAAGCTCAAGACTGCTTCAGTTTACTTTTCTTTTTATGCGTTTTTGCCTATATACAAATTGCAAAAACGCATATAGCGACGACCCTGTCTGTGTGTGTGTTCGTCTGTCCGGATATTTCAACTCGCCAACCAAGCAAGTTTCAGCGCCAAAATTTTGCTAGTAGGTTCCCCGGCCAAGTGCCATCTCAGAACCGTGGTACCAATCCCCACGCAAGTCTGGGCCCCGCGCACGAGGGGGTGAAAGTTTTGGCGGGAAAATTGATAATTCGGGAACGAGAAAAGATAGAAAGCCGAAATTTTGAGGTATGTCCACTGTCCAAATATAATTCAAAGATTTCAAATTCAGCCTCCAGATGTGCGTAGTTCTCCCCACAGCCCTGTGAAATTTTTTGGCGAGAAAATGGCTAACTCGGGAACTAGCGAAGCTGGGAGGCTGAAATTTTTAGAAAATGTTCCCAGCCCATGTACGACTTAAAGTTATCAAATTCAGCCCCCAGGCATGGGGAGTTCTCACGTACGGCCCCCGTGAAGTTTCTTGGCGGGAAATTGGCTAGGTCGGGAACTAGCAAGCTGGGAGGCTGAAATTTTCAAAGAATGTTGCTAGTATAAATACAACATAAACCTATCAAATTCA